TGTCTGCCTTGCTCTGTTATGCAAGATCCCATGATGTGGATTAATTTTGAAGTGATGTAGTGTATGTCGATATGTTGTGAATAGTTACTGTTTTTAGGATAGAATCATAAAAACACATATTTAAAGGAGGAATAAAAGGAACTATTGCCAATTAAAATTAGAAATTTGCTTTCGTATTTTTTATCTTGCATACATATAGTAAATATGTGATTTGGGAAGTGTTGATTGCTATTATAAGGAGATGTTGAAGCATAAAATAGTACAAGCTTGTAGTGGTGGCAGACGTTAAGTACTCAAATACAGGATGAGTCACAGGAAACAGATGTTTTTTGGAATGTATGTGGAGGGTAGTGTGGGAGATGGCTTTCAACTCACCTTGAGTTGCCATAGTATTCATCATGCCATTGTGGACTCGAGAACACCACGTATTTGCTTATGACACATATGTGAAACATGGTGAGTCAGTAATAATTACCCACTGTCTCTTCAGGCAAAAATTTTGCATCAGTCATCATGGTGATGTCTCCAACCAGAATACCATTCTTAGTACTTTATTCATTCTATTATTCATACTTTGCATGATTGTTCTTTAATTAATGAAAAGCAAACCACCTGACCCTGCCAAAATTGTCAGAGCACCAGAGAATGTGGATTGAATAAGAAACAAAGATCTGAAGTCCCTGTCACTCTGCTAGGCAACACTCTGCAGAGCTGCGAATGCCTCAAAGCTCTGTGCAGAGAATTTTACACAAAGACCTACGGTTTCACCTGTATAAAATTATGGTAGTCCAATAGTTGAAGGAGCAGGATTAGTAACATCTCACTTTTTGTCAAACAGTACTTGACATGTTTGAAGAAAATGAGGATTTGACCATGATAATGAGCAATGAAGCCTGTTTTCATCAAAACAGGCTAGCTAATAAACAAAACTGTAGATCCTGGGTTCAGAAAATCCTCATGGATTACATGAGTGACCACTGCACAGTCCAAAAGTGACTGTTTAGTGTGGTATTGGTAAGTGCAGAATTTTCAGGTCTTTCTTTTTTGAAGGGGACGGAGTGACAGTAACAGTTTCTTCAGACCACTATGTCAACATGTTTAAAACCCTTCTTTCTACTATTACTTGACCTTCACAGGCAAGGAATCAATAGGGCATCAGTGTGCTTTCAACAGGATGGGGGCCACTGCCCATGTGATCTGCCATGGCTGCTATTCGAACTGCATTCCCTAATCATGTGATTTCACACTTTTGGGATTTCCAATGGCCTCTACACTCACTCGACCTTTCCATGTGCAATTTTTATCTACGTGGTTTCTTGAAGTCATATGTCTTTAAAGGCAAACCATGCACGCTTGAAAGATTGAAGATTTCAATACATGCCATAATCAAAGAAGAAACTATGGCAAGAGTGGATGCTAGCTTTTGAGAGTGACTTCACATTTGTGTTTGAAAATGGTCGTCATTTGTCAGACATAATTTTTCGTTCATAAGCATTACATAACGGCGTAGTTTAGTGGTTGATTCTCTAGAAGTAAATTTTTTTTTGTTTTGAAATATCTACAGATTTTCCAGAAAAACAAATGTTTCCTGTGACTTGAGCATGTATGATGATCTGGGAATGACACTGGTAGATGTTGAAGCATGCATAGTAGATCCGTAATGAATAAGCTTGGAAGATATGTAGATGCAGTGAGACATAGTCATAGCAGATTTTAATAATGTTCTTTTAGTTTACTTCACAATTTTATGGCCATAGACAAATTAGCATACTAATCATGCCTGCTCCAAGATGAAATATTTACATTTTAGATATCTTTACTTTAAGAAGAAAGCAGTGCAGCACCAGTATAGCTAGGGCAAGGTACAGAAAGAAAGTGTATTATGTCAAAGTTATTCAATACGGAAACTTAGAGAAAGGTTTCAGTTCTTGAAATTTTAAGTTCTGAATTACCTATGGCATCATTATTATGTAAAGGATGGAAAGTGTGTGTGTGTGTGTATTTAATTATGGCAAAGCACACTAGGGCTATCTGCCTAAGGGAAGGGATGCCTTCGTGGAGGACTTTCTAAGGGAACTGGCTCGTATACACGTTACACATGGGGAAAACCACGAAAACGCCCATGCAGCCAGCCCGTTCGCGGGATTCGAACCTCGGACCGAACTACCAGTGTTCAGCGACTTTACCGCTCGGTCACTGGTGGGCCTAAAGGATGGAAAGGGGAAATATCCAAATTAAAATAAGGAATTAAGGGGCTATTGCTAATTTAAATTATATTTTTGATCTGCGTATTTTTTTTTCACATATATGTATGTAAGATTAAAAGAAAAAAATGATTTTTCAATAAACCTTTGATTTCCAAATATTTAAGCAAATATTTTGAAGGGTGGAACATGAAGATTTTTAATATAATTTAAAATCAAAAGAAATTCGTGCTTTATTCTTCGAATCTGGAAAGGATGAATCTGTTATGACACTCTATTTTTCGGATTTATGAATTTGGGTATCCTCTTAGTTTGTATTGCATAATACTGGAAGAGAAGTATTTATGGTGCAATTTATTTCATTAAAAGAGACGAGGTAATGTTTTCCTCATCCTATTTCAGGACTGTATCGTGCTGCATAACATCTACATTAGATAAGGAGATTTCTTCTTGTAATAGTTTATCTTAACCCTTAAATGATGAATTTTTATTTTTAAAGTCAGAATTACATTAGAAATGATATCAAATAAAATAGGAAAAAAAAATAAATAAACTAAGTTTTTACTCCAATTTTTGAAAAAATATTCAAAGAAGATTCAAAGAAGCTTTAGTGAAAAAAATCAACTCCTTAATTTTAGTTTATGTGAAATGAAATTCTTAATCTGTTTCCAAGACATTTTAGTGCTTCCTCAACTGAAATCATTGTTTAATTTAACATCAAAAGAAACCATAAGTGAACACTGGAGAGAAATATCTTTAAATTTATTTATGACTTCAAAAGAATCTTTAATAGTGTCTATATTGTTAGAAAGTAAAGGGGAAAATCTAGAAACTAAATACGAGGGCTATCCAGAAAGTAGATTACGTTTTGGAATAAAAAAATAAACAAAGTATAGGAAACAAATTTTATTATATACAGATGAAAGCCACACTCAAATACTACTTTTCTACATAGTCACCATACAAATTAAGGCATTTATCGTAGCAATGTACGAGCTTGGAAATTCCTTCGTCGAAAAATTCGGCCGCCTGCGCCTTCAACCACTTCGTTACCTCTTCTTGCCTTCCATCTTGCACAAAACTTGTGGTAACCAAGCTTTTCGCTGATGATTTCGTGCAACAAACTTCGCGAAATTTGTGGAAAACTCAAAGAAAGTTCCGTTATTGTGAAATTTCGATTTTCACGGACTTTAGCATCGACTTTTTCGAGAAGTTCGGCGGTCACTATGCTGGGTCTCCCACTTCGATCTTCGTCGTGAACATTGGTTCGGCCATTTTGAAATCTTATGACCCACTGACGCACTCCACCTTCAGTGATAATATTGTCCCCATACACTTCACGAAGCTGCCGATAGATTTCTATCGGTTTACAGTTTTTGCAGTCAGAAACCTTATTACTGAGCGCACCTCGCAGCTCGCGGGATTTTCAATTAACGCAGACATTTCAAACCGTCACAGTATCTGAACGGAGCACAGCACGAACCTCTCACTAGCACGGCTAGATGCAGACTGAGCTGCGCAACGCTCTGACCCCAAGATGGCCGCGCTAGCCCCGCCCCTAGCGGACACAGACGGAAACGTAATCTACTTCCTGGATGGCCCTCGTATTTGGCTAAAGGATATGATATTATTCCCAAGTTAAAAACTGTAGGTTGAAAAGAAATTTCAGCTTTTCAACATTGGAAAGAGCATAAAGCTCACTACAGTTAGCAAAAGTTGGAATGAGGGAATTTTTTAAACTGAGTTGGTTTTTAAACTAATATGAGAAGATTTAATAGCTGTTTTAACTTTTGTTTGGTTAGAAGTTGAAGGATCTTTAGGAATCAAACAGTATAGGCCTTTGTTTACCAGTTCCATAACTCCATAGATTTTTTGTTCTTGGCAAAGAGGGACAATTTTTTTTTTTTTTTTTTTCCTCCTTTGGAATCTATTAAAGTTTTGATTAAAGTCTATACCAAACGTAAGGTTACTGTTTCGCCTGGTGAAATGGGTTTTATATTGTGAAAAACAATTATAAAGTTTGGTATGTTTTGTTATCATCTAATAGTGTCCAAACTCTTGGTAGATGTTAAACAAATTATTGGTAATTCTAAGATAACAATTAGAACTTGAGAAGGGGGTGTAAAACCCTTTTATTTAAAACTAAGAAAAGCAGAATTCACTGGTGCTTACAAATCAGCCACCACTTCTGATGAGATAACTTTAAACAACCCCAAATTCAAATGTAAAATTAAATTTAAACAAGCTAGTAAGTAGCCAGAGGCTGCACAAATCTATTTAACGCAAAGTTGGCTCACTTACCATGGAGATTAGTATCGGCAATTATAATGAATGGCTGAAGACTATAAATCTTACCTGATCTAGCCACCTAGAAATGTGGCCTCGAGAAGCAGAAAGTGCTCTGTTTTGTAATCTGAAAACCTCACTATAAATACTCATGAACTAATTTGCAGTCTGCCAGGAAAATGAAAGGGAGAAGTGACAGTAAAAGTCATAAACATAAACTAACTGGTTGGTTAATATAAACAACTTTAATATACAACTTTAAATAAATAAATAAAACTACAAAGCTGAACAAATATTAGTAGTATGGAAATTCAAATAGCATAATAAATCGTCAAATGAATGGGTGGAAGTAAATTTATATTTTGTTTTTCATTTACTTTTTAGCAGCATCTGCACATCTGGGAAGTACCAAGGGAAATGAAAATTTTTATTAGAGAAACAATATAATTTAATATTTTGTGTGTTGTTTCTTTATAAAAAATTAAATAGTTTACCTACCACTTTTTGCAGATACCTACTACCATTCCTAAAGTCAGATTATCACCCTCAAGCTCTGAAACATCCAGCTCTGGATCTTGCATTAACTACAAATCTAATATGCCTAAGACAGGTAATCGTGTGTATCTTTCTATCAAAATATGTATTTTTGCTCACGGAGTAAATTTTTGTATTTCAAAGTCCATTTAAACAAAAAATGCATTTTGGTGAAATCAGTATTTGAATTGTCAAGAAAAAGAGATAATTTCTCTTTTATTTCATATTGTGAATATAATATTTCAAATTTTCTTTAATATACATACATATATATATTTACAAAATAATAATATTACAAAACAAATTTGCGAATAAATGAAAAAGTATAATATAACAGAAAATTAAATTTAAAATACAAAATTATTTAACTTTAATAATTATTGTATTTAACATTTGCAGTATTTGCATATCTTTTAAATCTGAAATTTTCTTGCCTAGCAAAGTGAATTATTCAATAGATGAAGTACATTGTCTACCACATTTTCAAACCTTTCAATGTAGCATTTAAAATATTCATGTCAATTTCTAGTTCTGCTCTGAAGATAATGTTTGGTCTTTTCAAATCATCACCTTCTGAGATACATATTTTATATATTTCAAGTTTTAAATTTAGCCAGCTATTATTAGCAATAAAATGAATGCAACAATTTTTTACGCACATGAAATTATCTTTGTGTTTTTATTGCATCATGATAATTGTGGTAATTGTCAGATTTTTCTGAAACACCTTCAACATATTTCCAAACTATTCTTTGATAAAGTACTGTAGAAGTTTTCTTTAAGTATTATTATTTTTAAGTATTATTATTTTCAAATGTTTATTAAACTTCAGTACTTTTTTAAAGTGTTTTCCCTGCTTGCAGCTTAATAAATTAAGATGCCATTTTACTCCAAATTTTAAAATTTTATGCTCTTAGACATATTTTCAAGAATATATTTGGCTGTAGTATACAAAAATTAAGAAAGGTAAGAAAATAAAAATTAAAAAATTTATATTTAGGGAGGTAATGCATAGAGTTGTGATTTCTGTTGTTGTTATTATTTATATGTAGTGAAATTTCTTAAAATATGCTTCAAAGTAGAATAAACATCTTGCTGCCATTTTGTTACATTTTCTTATCTGATGGTGTAATTCTGTTGTCCTTAAAATGGCTACACTGCAGTTCAACTTAAATGAAAAAATGAATTTGTTAATAAATAAGAAGTCAACTGAGTTGGTAACAAGAGCTTTCCATGTTGTTTTTGAAAACAATTGAAAAAAATGTGGTGTACACAACTTGTAATTATTAAATGTTTTCATTATCATTATTAATTCTGATATGCAAGAAAATTACATCCTTTTTTTATCTTTTTTAAGAATTCAGACATATAATAATTTATTAGATAAGTTTAGTTTTAATTCTTGAATAAAATGTATCATATATAAAATTTAAATGCTGATAGGTCATATAAAATCACCGTTAAGTCGTGTAACATTTCATAGACTGAAAAAAAATTTGTTCTCTCTATTTTTTGTGATTTATACAGCAAATTGAGATTTTATGAATGCTATGAAAATGTATTTTAACATTTATCTATAATATGGTGAGAAAACAATGAAAATAGTTATATTACTTCATTGTAATTCAAAATATTATGAGCAATTCTCTGTGGTAAATTTGATTGCTAAATAATTGCCCTTAAAAAACATATCATCACAGAGTCAAAGATTATTTCAAAAAGATAAATAAAATTTATCATTAACTTGCTAAAGTTTACACCTTTCAGTGTAGCATTTCAGTATCAAGTGGGATGCAGTAGTTTTTCCAAATATACTGAAGGGATGTAGTGGATATCCATCTTGGATTCTGATTGGTTTGGTTTATTTGATTATGGCAAAGCACTCAAGGGCTATCTGCCTAAGTGAAATGAGGCCCTTGTAGAGAACCTTCTAAGCAAAACTGACTCAAATGCATATTACACATGCATGCTCCTATAACACATGGGGAAAACCATGGAAAACACCATGCAGCCAGCCCGTTTGCAAAATTCAAACCTTGGACTGAACTATCCAGTAAACAGGCAATCTGTTCGGCCGCTGGTGGGCACCTTGGATTTTAAATACCAAGCAAATTGAATTCCTGTAAAACAGAGAATTGTGTACAGCAAGATATTTTGGATGTCAAAAGCTTTATTGATTTTTTATCACTTTGAAATTGTAGAACAAAATAATTTTTTTTAACTAAGTAAATCTTTTGGAAAACAAATCTGCTGATTTTACAAAGAAAAAAAAAAGTTTTAAAGGTAAATTTAATTATTGAAAATTTATTATTTTGTCATTTTCGGAATTGGTAAAATTGTATGAAAACAGTACCTGTTAACATTTTTTGCAAATTTTTGTTGCATCTCTTTTCATAAAGTTTACTTATTTATGAAGAAGTCACAAGATATGTGCTATTAGCTAGCAGAGAAAGGTATTTCTTCATAATTTTTGATAAATTAGAATTATTTGTATTATTTATTTTTGACGGGTTAATTGTGATGTATTTCTGTCTATAACTTGCTCACAAAGATATTTAGCTCTTGAAAAAAGTTAATTGGTTGGTTATCTGATTGCACATCATGTTTATTTGAAGAATAGGCTATTTTTGTAAAGCAATCTTAAAAAGATGTATGGATCTTAGCATGGTCTTTTCACTTATATTATTTTGAGATTTTAGTTTTGTTAATGAAGATCTTGATTATTTTTGAGAGAAATGTGACTATTTTTTTTTCCATTAATAATGGTAAAAGTATTTTTACACATTTGTCATAAGCTTGATAGTTGTTGAAAAAAGATTTTTAAATCTTGGATTTTGATTAGTTGTTATGAAAAAATGTTTGTTGAGTTCTGCCATTGAGAATTTTGTTGCATTCTTACGAGTTTGTGGATTTTTAGTAATTGATGATAACACTTAATGAGGAATCAAAACACAGTTAATTTTCCAATAAACAGTATTACGCAGGACACTTCCAAAGTCACATTTACACTCATCAAAAAAGTATGACAAACATGCTGATACAATCAGCAACACAGCCTTCAGGCTATAACAGTGAAGACAGCTTCAGTGTATGACATATTGCCAATTTTGTCGCCAAATACTGCCCAGTGGGCAATTTCACAACCAAATCTGGCAACTCTAAGCTCGCCTAAGCCATTGGCTCATGCTGCTCAACCGGCAGACTTCTTTTTTCACTTCGCTAGAGGAGCTTCATTTCAACATGCTTTGTGGGGGCATTTTGCAATGCTGCCCCCCTCCCAAGAGTCCTTGGGCACATCCTGGGCAGTACAATACATGGTCAGGATCCAAATTCAGTACAAACAGACAAAGCCATAAAAAGGTAACAAAACAAATAAATAATGTAAACAAAGATAAAAGAAACTAATATTTACACTATTTACAAGTAACTATGTACAAGTTATATGCTCAAATTATAAAGGAAAATTAATCTACAGGATTTATGTTTACACTTAAGAATGAGAACCAGTATGTACTGTGTGGCCCTAGTATGGGGCTATCTATCATAATGGTTGACCTTAGGTTTGGAATTTTGTTGAGGACTATATAGGAACTCTCAATTTGTTGAAGACTCTATAGGGAACCCTCCCACTGTGACCACAGTTTGGGAGAAACACCCATATGATGACCCGGATTTTACAGCCACACCTCGTTGTTTTCCTGAAACTGATATTTGGTGGCTCTTGCATCATATCTCTTCTTCAGCCTGTCTGTCGAGTTGTTGATCCGCTCCCGTGAAAAGCTGTGTAACACCCATATGATGACCCGGATTTTACAGCCACACCTCGTTGTTTTCCTGAAACTGATATTTGGTGGCTCTTGCATCATATCTCTTCTTCAGCCTGTCTGTCGAGTTGTTGATCCGCTCCCGTGCAAAGCTGTGTACCATTCATGAGTGAGAGGTGGTTCAAAATTATACAGTTAAATAGTTGCACCATGCCATCAGATTGTGGATGTAACAGGGCCATCTGTGTTTTCTTGATTTCCAATTAGTTGCAGAGTCCCTTAAACACAACCAAAGTGAAGTTCCTGCTCTGGTTGGAATGAATCTGGAAGAGAGTCCGAAACCTGGACACCCAGTTCTGTAACAGAAATTCAGCTCTTGTGACAGCCTCCTGGTCTGGAATTGGGTATGCTTCAGGCCACTTTATAAAATAATCCATGACAATGAGGTTGTATTTGCTGCCAATTTGTGTGTGGCAAAGGTCCAAGTATGCCCAGAGCAGTTTGTTCAAAAGGTGTTCCTATGTTGTATGGCTGCAGCCTTCCCTGGCTACGTGTCTTCAGTCCTCTCTTGGTTGTGCAAGCATCACAAGATCGCCACCACTTCTTAGAATCGTTTCTTGTTGAACTTCAGAAAAAGCTTTCTGGAACCTTGTTTAATGCCTTCATGTATCTGAAATGCTGTACTGTTAGAATGCCTTTTATTTTCTTCAGAACATTGGATATTCAATTTTGAGAAAGCAGCAGCTGCCATCTCTTATTAGTTCCACCATTCTTTTAATTGTTTTCTCTGCTGCACATCTTTGTTCGTTGATTAAGTTTGCACTCTGCAGAAGTTCTTCCATTAATTTCCCAGTTGCCTCTCGGAATTACAGGTGGGGCTTTGTAAGCGCATGTGACTGGAGTGCATGCTGCTAACACTTCACCCTTCTGGGTGGTTCTTGATCTGTGGCTGACATTTGCCACTTTCACTGGAATGAAATTTTTTTAAAGGTCTACTAATGTTGAGGCTACTATTATATCTCATGGGCTATTTTTAGGGTATTTATTCCAAATTTGAAGCTATTGCTGTTTTTTATGAACCAGTTATTAATAATTCTGTCATCGAAGGAATGGTGATATCTGTTTTTGTTGTTATTTGGTGAGCTGAAGGAATGTTGTTTTTCATTTCAAACACAGCTGGCTATATATCTTTCTTTGCAGAGTGTATCTCGTTATATTTAAAGTCAAGCATAAAGTCATATTTCCATAAAAAGTCCAGTCTGAATATTGTGCATAGTGTTAGTGACAAACACCAAATGCTTGTGGGTCTCAT